TCTTAGACCTCTTCTTTAACTCCATGTACCCTCGCCTGAGTCCCTGGTATCGAAATATCCATTTGTTGATGATTCCCCAGTTACTGCCTCCAGCCAGGATGTCTCCCTGAACTCTAGACTCCCACATCCAACTGCCTTTAAACACTTACTATGCTTTCCTTGATGAAAGCCAAAGAGCTGAATCCTCACTATCTCAAAACTGCCCTTTTGTACCCTTCCTCATCCCAATAAAAGACACTTCTATTCCAGTAGCTCAGGCCAAGTAATTAGTGACTCCTTTTTTGCTCAAAGTCTACATCCAATCCATGAACAAATTTTGTTGAGTTTTTACTTGACACATCTCTGTAAGCAAAACACTTATGCCCTCCACACTCCCATAATGGTTCAAACTCATTATAGTCTCACATGAGTAACTACAATGGCCCCCTAAACTGGGATCCCTGCCTCCGTAGTCCTCACACACTCCTACCCAACAGCTGTAGGGATCCCTTTCTTACTCAAAGGATAAACCCAGACCTCCATTATGGTTTGCAGGACACTGCCTGATCAGCTCCACCTCAGACTTCATGACCTCTCTGGCCTCATCTCCTTCTACTCTGGCCCTCCTCTGGCTGCTCCAGCCACACTGGCTCCCTGGCTTTTCATGGGTGCACTAACCGTGCTCCCACCCTCTCCTGCTGTTCCCCCTGTCTCAGACTGTCCCCACACATTCATCTTTGCTTTAACTCCCACGTCACTGTGCAACGCCACTGTACCAGTGTCTTAGTTACTGTCTCGTTGCTGGGACAAAATGCCTGACCCCCAAAGTTTTATTGCAGATGTTTCAGTCCATAGTCAGCTGGCTCCAAGGTAAGGCAGTATGGCAGAGGGGCATGCCAGAGAAGAAACAGCCCATGGTAGAGCAGATAGGAGCTAGTGAGCCTGCCTTCCATCTTTCCCTTTATATTCCATCCAGGCTACAAGCCTATTGATGAGTGCCACCCACACCCAGGGTGAGGCTTCCCTCTTCAGTAAATCCATCCAGCCACTCCCAGAACTATGCCAACCCAATTAAGGGACTAATCCAGGTATCACACACCCTTCATCCATATTCACTCACCCTAGATCCAGTCATCTCTGAAAAGCCCCACCTATGAGTGCATGAGGCTTTGGGGGGACATCTAGATAGAAGCCATAACAACCGGCAAGGCCTTCCCTGGCCATCGTTGCTCTCATCCATCATGCTCTAGATTCTATAGATTTTATATCCTTCTTTATTGCAGCACCTGCTACATTACCAAGTCAGGGTCTACCCATCTTTCCAGAGAATGTATATTCTTGGGGGTCAGAACTTTACTCCTTTGTATTGCCAGCACCTACAGCAATACTTGGTATATAAATACCTGCTTTTAAAAGTTGTATCGAATATAGTATTGAAACACACCACAAGGCAACTGGGAAATGCCTAATAAAGCTATTCCATTTCTAGGGAGGCAAGAAAGTATATGTAAAAATGGCCACTGCAACATTACCTGAAATTGAACTATGAAACTTGTCCAGACATATCCATATCCATTTCATCAGCTGGGAAATGGATACATTTTATAAATTAGACTCCTATGGAAACATTGAAACTAATGTTCTAGAGCTACATGTATGAGCACAAATTATTCTTAACAACATAATTATTTACAAGGGTATAGAATGTTAAAATGTAAATTCATTGAAAAATGACTCTTTATAGATGAGGATATATAGTGAGAGTAAACACACAAAAACATGGGTGGGAGGAATATACAATCATTCCAGAAAACAAATAATTCCTGGTAAGACAGAGAATGGAAGGGACAGGATTTCAAACATATCTGCAAAAATTTTTCTCTTTCAAAAAGAGGTTCTAAAATAAATAAGGCAAAAATTAAAATTTGCTAAATCTAAGTTCATCATCGTAGTCTTTACTTTTTTATACAAACAAGTGTTTGTCATATATATATAATATCAATATGTCTTAAGTACTCCAAAATGTTCTAAATTAACTTTTAAAATTTAATATACAAAAAATTTAAATGTCTGAAATAAAACTTGCGAGGCTTAGAAGCAGCTATATTTGAGTAAAAGAGAATATCCTGCAGTGAGCAAAAAATCACCTTATTGTTAGTATTGCTAGGCTGATATTCTTCACTGGAGGGGTGGGATGTGGGTCAAAGGAGAAGCGGGCGCCAGGGGCCGCGGCCATCAGCAAGGCTGGCAAGGCTGAGTAGCGCCATCTACAGGCAAGGGCTGAAGACACAGGCGTGGGTGTTCATATAGTGCTCCAAACTATGCACCTGTTACAGCGGGAACACAATTTGAGAACACTCACAGTTTCAGCATTAGAAGGAAGGATGCAAGGTAATGCTCTCTATTCCACTTTAGAGATGGAAACACCAAGGTAAATTCTGGCCCAACTAGAAAAGGTTGATGTCAATTTAAAGGAATTTCCACCCACTGCCACATTAACCTACTTTTTCCATGAATATAAATATAACAAATGTTTGTTAGCGTAAGGATTTTTAAATTTTCATACGGAAAATATAAGGGAGGAACTGGAAATTACCTGATCCCCGGAGTCAGAGGAGGAATGATTGAATAAACTGTGATACAAATGTATTACAAAATATAAAGCAAGTCTTAGAAGAATGCTTTTGATTCATATGTCTTGACCAAGAAAGCTGACTACAATCTTTATAAAAAGCAGTCAAATGTGCATGTACCTATATGTTTATACAAGTTTAGAAAAACCACAGTAGGCTCCACACACTGTTTCAAATGGTACCTATATCAGTCAGTGCTCACTAGAGAAACAGATTTGATGCAAGATATATAAGTGTATAAGGATTTACAAGGTCGGCTTACAGGGGGCCGCCCGCAGAGCCGGGTGTGGAAGAGCACGAGGGCTGTCTGCTCGCTGTAGACCGAAGGGGCCAGTGAAGGTGACAGCTCAGTGTCCCCTGTGAGTCCGAGGGGTCTGCGACGGCAGCCAGGAGATGATGTCCAAGGTGAAGTTGTGGACTTCAGCCTCTCCGGTGAAACAGAACGAGCTTTCGTTCTTCGCTTCCCTTTTATACCTCGGCGCCCTCAGTAAATCCCCTCAGCCACACCCAGAACCTTGCCCAACTGATTTAGTCGGGCGGTTGTTACTCAGGCAGACTCAGTTAACTATCACAGCAGCGACAGAGAAGGAGTGCGAGTGAGGCTATGACCATTTTTTCCTTACTTTTGAAATTACTGCGGTTTTTTTTTTTAAAGAATGTAGGGTAGGGGAAAGAGAAAATTAACTTTAAGCACATCCCTCAGAATGACTTTCTAGATCATATTTTCCCGGACTTTTATATAAAACATATGCACACACACACACACACACACACACACATATATATATACAAAAATAGATCCCGCTGTATGCACGCTTTATGAGCCTCCTTTCCTCGCGTGCATTTAGCCATATACTAAAAGTCTTAGTGTATGTCTTTCCCTCCTTGTCGATAAATAGTAGCTTTCAATGGTTACAACATACCCGAGTGTTTGAAGTTACTAAGGCTCATTTCACCAGTTCCTGGTTGTGGGACGTTCACAGCGCTTCCAGCGATCCCTGACACAAATAAACATCCCTGTGCACACACGTTTGCACATGTGTTTTCTTAGGGCAAGTGCGGGTTTCCTAGACCACAGTCTGATGTGCAATCCTTGGACCAAAGCTAATGTATTTGGGATTTGAGCCACATTTCCAAACTGTCCTGTTAGAAAGTGGTTTTTCTGTTGCTGATGTTTGGTGCTTATTACAAACTTATTACACCCTCACCGACGGGGTAAGCAAAGGGAGTTTTGCTCAACTCAGAACGGGAAATGACAAACTCGATGAGACTCCCACAGGTAAAACCGAAGAGCTTTCGGGGGAGAACTCCTACACCGGTCGGATCCAGGCCAAGACCCGCAGTTTCCCGGGAGGGTGGGGCGCGCCGCTGGCGCTCCAGCGGAGATGGGGCGGGGCCGGCGGGGGGGC